CTGGGAACTGACACTTACTTACCCCCTCCCTACTCCCATATGCATGAGGCAGGAGACATCACCAGGTTTAGGCTTTCCTTGACTTGTGTGGCACAGGAGTGGGAATGGCTGTTTCTGGATTTTGTGGCTTAGAACAAATGTCCATTGACAAAGGAAGTTCAGTTAACCTGAGAGGCAGAGGTGAGGCCTTTGAGAGGGAGGGTGGAAAACAGATCCATTAGATCAGGATAAAGCAAAGTCAAAGCTGATTCCCTTGAATGAGTCATTTTCATTGTCTGTCGTGTGGGTTGTGCAGGCTGCCTCTTCAGCCCTGATGTTCCTGGCAGTCTAGTCATGTTCCTGTGGTGACAGGATGGCTATGATTTCCCCCTCTTTCCTTGGTTGTATCTTGATGGTCTGAATGGGTGTCCCTGGGCATGGTGGATCAGAGTAGTTTCCCACTGCACTCTAATAGTACATGTGGCTTTGCAGAAAGAAACTTGGAGAGGCTTACACCCTGTAGGAAGATTCGGTGAAGGAACAGTGGTCAAAGAAATTAGAAGAATTTCTAAGTTCAATTATGATTTTACAAAAATTCAGAGAAAAAAACCCCACAGAAAATATGCTTTTGATCAAAATTGATCAAAATGTCAGAGTGACAAAGTAAATGATCTGTGGGAAATGTGTTTCAGTAACTTTAAAAGCTGCTTTGTGAAATTGGCTGCTGCACTTGGACATGAATTTGGACATATAAGGTTGCTACTAAATAACTGAAATTTAAACTTCTGTAATTTTGGAAACTGCTTTGCTATTTGGAAAATACTAGAAGCATTAGAAGAAATCTATACAAACAGAAAGGAATGCAGAGGCCAAACTGAACTGGAGAAACCAGAATCCAAGCGAAAAACACCAGGACAATCACAGTGCACAAAGCCCAAATAAAGATAAGGGAGTACAGAGTGAAGGACAGTAAACTCGACCACATAACAAACTCCAAATGCTTCTTCATAGCCAGAATGATAATTATTCTTTCAATACAAAATGAAGTTCTCCCATAGAGAGCCACACTATATATGGCAGTTGCAAATGTTTTGGACATCTATTTCCCAGTTAACAGGACTGTGGGTGGCTGATACTGTCTTATCAAAAGGTCATATATGCTCCCATGGGGTTGACTGTAACTTTCAGTGCAATCCAGACCCTGCAAGCCAGAGCAGAGTGGAGCAGCTGGCTGGTTTCCCCAAGGTCAGCCAGCTGAACAAGAGTGGAGCTGCCTGCTGGCTGAGTTCCCAAGGCCTGCTGGGAGGAAAGGACAAGTGGGAGAGCAAAGCTGCATCAGCTCCTCCAATATAACCAATTATCTAAGAGTTTAAGCCTCCCCTGAGGCCTGAAATGATTGTGATTTTGCCATACTTGATGGTGGCCAAATCATGACCTTGCTCCATTCTGAAATGGGTAAATAAGTGACTGTAAGAAGCCTCTTCGTCTGTTGGGGTGAACTCTGTGCTGCAGCAGTAGTAGTGGTGGCTTCTCCTTTCTGTGCAAGCAAAGAATGTACAAGCTCCAGGTGTTACTTATTCCTCTCCTCTCTCTAATGCACTCTCGAGTAGTGCAGACAAAGCTGTGCTGAAGAAACTCTTGATACCACTTTGTTTCTTCTGCAGAGCAGACAAACATCAGAGACCAAATCATTTGCTGCCCAGCTTCCTTGTCAAAAGGCCTTCACTCCTAGTGAGGTCTCCTTAACTGCTACTGTAGTTGCCAAATAATCAGAAGCCCCAAGAGACAAGAAGATATGCTACAAATTGTGGTGTGGGAACTCAATGCCACCAGCACTGTCTGGGAAAAGCAGTACCCCAACTCCCTTTCCAAGGGCACAGTAAGGAGCCCTAGTTTGACCACATGCAAATATTTAACAGAATGCTTGGATGGTCTGCTCAATAAACTGACAATCAAGGACAGAAGAAACATCAAGAATAGCTATCCATCCTGAACAAACTGAGACTCACACATGCCCAGATTCCTTAACAACTTGTAGCAAATTTCTAGAAGAAATATATTATTTTCCAGAAGGAAGGAGAATTTAAAAAATGATGAGACCTAACCTCAGCTGATCAGGTTCTATTAAGTTTCAAATTCAACAACATAATGTGTATTTTGTGCGTGTGTAGATCAGGCACAGTGATACCTAATAAAAGCAGGGAATTGCTGCAGATATTATCTTTACAAGACATTTTCCATTAGGAAAGAAATTGTTATCCCTCAGAACAAAATGGGTGTGTGTATTATACCTTGAAAAGTGATATGAAAAACTAGCTGAAGGCTTATTCACCAATTCTGAGGTGAATATAACCTCAGAAAACACCTTGTATTAGAAAATTGTTAACCATTACATTTTCACTAAAGTGAGCATTCAACAGGATACACTTAGCACAGTATCTGTCGATTTTTGTAGGAGTGACCCAGAGATTAACCAAAATCAGGTAACATTTTAAAGTTAATGGTAGTGCAATGCAGTTTTGCATCATGTTAAAATCTTCTAATTACTACGTTGTCTAACATATTTTTGTGAGGATGCATCTTAAATAGGTGTATAATATGTTTAAGCGGATAGAGGCTAACCTTTATTTGACAGTCAAAGCTCAGTAACCAGGATGTCACATTTGGTATATGTGAGACATCAGGATGATGAACAGGCCTTAAATAATTATTTTAAGGGGAACATAAAGTAAATCTGCTTTGTTACTTTATTCCGCTGAAAAATTAGGGATATGTTTTCACTGTAGGAATTAGAATTTAACAAACAACTCTGATAATGTAGCAGTTACAAATTAGTCCATAGGGAAATAAAGTGAACAATAAAGAATTTCCATGAACTAATTTAGGAATAAGGCCCTTCAACACCAAATGAAGCACACAGTGATATCCTTCCCCCTTCTGCTCTGCCTATCCCCTCTCTCCCCAGCTCCCCCCTCCCCCCTCACCTACCTCCAAAACAAAATAGCAGTGCTGACTATGAATAATTACTTTCACGAAGTTTAAATCTCTCTTTTTTCTCCTCCTCTTCCCTTTCCCCATTTCTTTTCGTTTTGGATAGTGTTCCTGTGAGACTGTGGGTTGTGAGTTATTGACTCTGTTTTTGAGATGGATTCTTTGCTGCAGACCAGCAATCAGCCCAAGTCACCTCTGTTGTTTCTGCCTTCTGTGTGCTCCTTGGGGAAGCTCAGTTGCAAGTACCTCCATGCTTGATAGGTCACACCTTTTTCCTTGCTAGTGTGTTTTTTTTCTCTAACCTTAGTTCTGTATGGCTCTCCTCATCCTGCAGAGCATACAGACAAATCTTGTCCCTCCTAGACACTCCCACCACATGTTTTGTGCTTAACTTTTCTGGGGTTTTGTGGGTTTTTTAAAAAGAAAAATTAATGATGCTTATAAGCACTGGACACTGCTCTTGCTTTTTTAAAAAAAAAAGTAAAAAATTTTTTACAAGTTCTCTTTTCATAAAGAGAACAAATACTTTCAAAATTATGCAGTTTGCACCAACAAATGGAATTCAATTTCAGTGATTTCCTGTTTGCCTCAGATAGCGGCAGTTTTCTGTATTCACTTCAGTCAAACAGTAGAGGTTCCAAAGACCATCAGCATATCGTTGTTAATCAAAGGATCCTCTTACCTAATAGTTCCTTTGCTGAATGAAGGAACATATTTTGTTTGCCCCTTGTGGCTTCATCTGTTTTGGTCATATCAGCATAGAAAATGAGCCAGTCTGTGAAGTGATCCTTAGAGCAAAGGATATTTACTCTATGGATTTATTCTGCTTTACAGGAACTCTTGTTCGACGGCAACGGATTCCACTTCCACCTCCTCATGAAGACCAGTTCTACACTGTGCATCATTTCAATGTCAACATCGAAGTAATCCTTTATGGCCGAAAATATAAGATTATAGATTGTGACCTGTATACAAGGAAATTCCTGAAGAAGATGGGAATTAGTGTAAATCCTTCTGCAGATCGACCAGATGACCCGTACACCAAAGTGCGACAGCAGGTTGGTTGAGGCAGTAGTGGGGAAGACTTGATTTGCACAGATGTGCCATTGCTATTAGTAATATGCCTTTATTTAAGAACAAATAGAAAATAGCTATTTCATTATAATATATCCCAAGAGAAAACTTGGTTTTAAAAATTTTGGTATATGGGCTAATTGTACTGTGTAATTAAATAGAACTGATTTTCTCCTGATGTGTTCACACACCTTTTAAAACAGAGCAAAATTAATTGGGAGAAATAAAATAAACCTTTCAGTATTAAACCAAAAATTAAGAAAAAACCTGGACCTATTACATGTTCTACTTATGATTTTTCTTGAGCTAATTCAATGATAATAAGCACTTTTAACGTGTTTAAAGGAAGATCTAATTGGAATTGTGGTTCAAGCACACCCATGGCTTCCTGCAAACTCCCTTGTTCTATTCATATGCCATCTTTCATCTCTACCCCACACATTTTTAGCAGCTCTTTGCATGTGTAAAGCAAATTCTTCTGCCATACAGAACCCAGTGCTCTGCAGTTTTAAGACTCGTGAGGTTTTGTTTGAAGGCAGTTCCCTCTTTTGTAAATATGTGAGAATACATATACACACACATACACACCTCCTCCAACAATCTCACTCACTGCTCCTAGATGCTGTGTGGATTTCCCTTTGCAGGATTTGGGTTATTTTTTTTTTTCTGGGAATAGTAGTGCTTAGATTCTACTTTTTTTAAACAACAAATGAAACATTTAAGTATTGTGCATTTTTGTGCCTAGAGAGATTGGAGAGAGGAAAAGGGTTGGGGAAATAAGAGTATCAGAAGAAAAAAAAATGCTTAAATCTATGCCTTAATATTCTCAGTTGTTGAGAAATTACAGAAAAGTAAATTCTGTCTGCTTTGTGGTCTCACTTTCCTGAGCCTAATTTGTGGAAGGTAATTTTTTTTGATTGCTTCAGACTGCTTTGAACTAAATCAAATCAGTTTGCACCAGACTCCTAATAATAAATGGCCAGAAAATGAAGGTATGAAGGAGAATAGAGAATGTGATGAGGTAGAAAATGAGGCCAATGAAAAAATATAGTGAGCCACTCAGTTTCTGTTTTGTTGGAGATGATATCCCATGGATGATGATGTTACCTGTCTCTAAGGCTGTATTTTGTTGCTTATTGCATCTTCAGAGTTCAGGAAGGAGAAAAGAGGGCACTTGGAAAGTAAGGAAAAGGTATGAAGGAGAATAGAGAATGTGATGAGGTAGAAAATGAGGCCAATGAAAAAATATAGTGAGCCACTCAGTTTCTGTTTTGTTGGAGATGATATCCCATGGATGATGATGTTACCTGTCTCTAAGGCTGTATTTTGTTGCTTATTGCATCTTCAGAGTTCAGGAAGGAGAAAAGAGGGCACTTGGAAAGTAAGGAACTGAGTTGTAGCTGCCTGAAATTTTTTTCTGCAGATAGCAGGGACATTGCCAGGCAAAACTTGATTCTGCTCTCCTTGTTTAGAGTTGTAGTCATCTGACTACTGTGGGCAATTTGTTGAAAATATGAGCTGTATGATAAATAATTTAACAATTCTCTGACCTGAAGGACTTTATTGCAAGAAGAACAAGGATTAAAACCAATCCAAAATTGTTTTCCTACATTTTCTGAGGGCACAGCAGCCCTGTAAATACTTTGGCAATGGCATAAATAGTGTTTCATGTATTGTAATTGCATGGTGTCATTTGAAAATCCTTAAAGCATGTTCTGAGGTTAGACTGTACCCTGCAGCCTGATATCCTGTTTTTAAGAGCAAACAAAAATATGTCTCTCTTAATTTCTCCTTTGTCACCAGACTCTGGACAGAAAGAATCCATTTCGCCCTTTGGAGCGCATTGACACTCTGAGACAATTTCTGGAGCACGATGGGCAAGTTTTAGGTTTCCTCTGTGTGTGGAATGACCCAGAATCCTTGTCCTATGGCCCACGAGAACTTGTTCTTCGTTATTATTTGTCTGATGATACTATTGATATAAAAGAAATTATACCAGATAACTCAGGCCGGGATGTAGTTCCACTTTTCCTCAGAAGAGAGAAACTCCCAAAGGTGAGGAATGAAAATTTCAACAGAAACCAAATTCTGCCATTAATTGAGAAATATAGAAGGCTTTGTTTTAGAAATTCTGTATTAGGATTGTCATAATATTTAGGAAGTGTTTTCAGAGTATTAATCATAATTGCATCATTTAGGTTTTGCACACACATTCCTATAGTAACTTTGTAAGTGATGGAAAAAATAACTTTAGCCTTGTCATCCTGGATTTGAAAGGAGAATTTAGACAATGAGATGTCCTGAGTTTGTTTCCCTTAGTATAGTAATGTAAATGTATTAATAAAGCTCAGTGATCAAAGTCCAGAAAATTAATTAATATTGATAAACTCACGTAAAACTGAGGTGAATTCAGATTTGATACATGACTTGTTTTTGCAGCCTTTGTAAAAGTCAGTTTTAGTATTCCATAACATTACTCCTTTGTAGCAAATCTAGAGTGATTTCTTAAAATTGAGTTTCTGGATTTGGGACCTTAAGCAAAGCTGGTTAAAATCAATAGGAATCCATCAATAAGCTTTGCTGGGCATTAATCAGGTGCTTATCTGAGAAGGCTCCTCTCACAGAAATCTTCAAAGGGTTTGAGTTCTCTGTAACCTGTTATGATTATAAATTAATGAGTTGGAGATGCTGCTTTATCACTCCAGACAGATCCTGATGATAGGGAAATGTCAGCTCACAGATGGAGTAAAATACTGGGAATATTTTAATCCTTTCCTTCTAACACTGATAATCTATTTGTGATGCCATAGATGTACATGAGATGTTATAGCAAAAACACAACAGCAAAATATTACCCTTTTGTCACCTTGTGCATTTGGTGTTCTGAGGTGCTGGTTTGGTAGGGGCTCTGTGTTGATAGATCCTTTCTACCTCTGAAGCACATGTTGCAACTTTAAGGGCTGGCTTCTTCCTCTGGGAATTTTGAGAAGAGCAGCAGAGATCAGTCAAAAGTTGGGGTGGCAGGGGAAGTGTTAAGACAAAGTAACTCATTTTGGTTGCCCTACATTGGCAGCTCATTCATAATTGAAAGAAGTGTAATGTGTTTGTGTATTAAGTTTGATCTTTCTGGGATTAATTACTGTTGATGCTAACATTTTTGCAAACAGAATCATGCTAACTTGAATCTCCCATGTTTGTGCAGTGGTTAGGACCAACCCAGAGTGGTTCTCTGCATGTTTTTTTAATTATTACTAATCAAAACAATAGCCTTTAGAGCAGGTGTTGACAACGATGTTGTACTTTGGGTGACCTTTGCTTTCTGTTTGCTTCCAAGAAAAAGGAGACTTTACCCTTGGATGCACAGTCATATTCTGAATGCTGCTTTGGCATACCTCCTGGCATCTGACATACACACTGCTGGTGTAATCTTACCTTAGAATTTTCTGAAACTTCTCCCAGGAAAACACTACAGTTACAGTCAGTCTGTACCAAACCTGCTAGCTCTGAGGCAACAGAGTTCTCTTTCTTCACTGTTAACTGTATTTCTGAAAAACTGGTGTCTTTTCTTGCAGAATGCTCCCACTGGGCTGTACCAGCCAGGCACAATCACCAATCACACTGTTCTCAACGTGTTGAAAAAATCAGAAAGAGACAGAGGCTGGTACATGCTGGACAATCAGAAGGTCAGATGTTATTGAATGCCTCCAGCTGCTGAATATCTTTACAGTAGTTTTTGTAATTTCTGTGGTTGCTATCCTCTACAACAAAGAGACTTATTTATAGAATTGTGCTGCCACTGAAGAAGAGCTCCAATAAAAACTACTGAGGTCTATGTAAATCTTGTGTTCATAAAAGTGAAGTAGCTTAACATGGGGTGAAATATACTTGTAAATGGACTTTGTAAGTTGTGTGTTAAATCACACGCAGTAAATGACCTGGATTTTAAGAAAGGTGGTGGGATTCTGAGATGTACAGAGCTGCTGCATTAAATGTTCCCTCTTTTATTAGACAGGAGCAGTGCATCAGGAATTTTACAGAGACAGTGACTTGAAAATAGGGGCAGTAATTAATGTTTGGGGAAGGAAGATAGTAATCTGTGATTGTGATGAGTACACTAAAGAATATTACAGGACAAAGTACGGAATTGGTAAGTAGTGATAATTATCCTTTAGTTATGAGCATTTTTATACCTTTGAGCTTGACAGAGTTGTTTTCAAATTTTATTACTGACAAAACATGTTCATTAAAACCTTTAGCAATAACAATCTGTTGTAGGCTGTTAGCAACAAAGCAGTAATTTTGCAGGTGATCCAGAAGAGCTTTTGATACGTTGCTGCATTGAAAACTAACACATAACGTGTGTGTTCTGTTCCTAACTGCCTCTATTTTAAAACTGCAATGACAAAATAGTCATATGGATAGACTGCCATTTATTTCTCCTTCTCTCCTTCCCCCTCCCATTCCAATAGCTGTGTTTGCAGTCAGAAAATAATAAAAGTGAGTGGGTAAGTGGAATGAGCTCGATTATTCCCCATTATACTATGTTTCATTTTATATGGATGTCAGAATCCTGACATAATAAGATTTTCTGACATGACAGTACTAGTCTATTGCATTATTGGTTTTTACAATGCAGTTTTGTGTATTCTGGACCATTAGAGTATGTATCCTGTGAAGTTTCAGCACTAAATTCTGGAAACATTTAGTAACTATGTCCATAATGGAAAAGCATTTTGGAAGCAAATGACAATAGGGGCTTTCATTTATCTGTCTTTGAATGTCCTCAGTCAGACTTGCTAATGGCTCTATCATGGACATCTTCCTGCAAAAATGACTTAGTTATTTTCTGGCAGTTTATTCATTCAATAAATATAGCTAAACATCTGACTATTCAGAGATGTTTGGAAGAATCTTACTATGGCCTTTCTCTGACATTGTGAGGCTATTTCTTTTACCTTAACTTGTGACCAGAACAGAGTGTGGCATGTGGATCAGAGTTTGTGTGCTGCATTAGGGGAATTAAATGAAACACTAGATTTTTTAATTTGCAAAGCATGTCTCATTAGGACTTTATAAATAATCACTTGGCATGGCTGTACCAAAATGTATCTGTTGTTATACTAGCCATGTTCAATAACCATAGTATTATCTATAATAAGAGGAGTCTAACTCCAGAGATGCAAACCAGGGGCTTCTTCCCTGAGAATTTCTGCAGCCAAGACTTCTGCCACTGTTTGGCAGCAATATCCTCTGTCTGAGCAAAACATCCTGGAATACTGAATGGGTATTTCTGACTCAGGGCAGGCAATAAATGAAATGCAGCTGATCATTCAGCATCAAACAAGCAGTGCAAGCAAGTGTTAGACCAATGCAAAGGCTCTTCCCCTCTATTGCTGGCACAGGTATTAGTGGTTGTGCTAAAGGTAGGTGGTTGCTGATAGGCAGTTCTAGAAAACAGAGAGTATAGGTGATATAGTCCATTCCCATAGTTCTGGGGCAGGATAGTGTATATACATAGATGGTCACTGTCAAATGTTTGTGTGGCCTTTTATTAGCAGTCTCAAGTAGAGATTCCTTTGTCTCCTGAGATACCTTGTTCTAACCTCATAGTTAAAAGTGCTACTTAATAGCTACTCTGAAGCTGGTTTGTGTAAACTGAGAGACAAATTTTTTTCTCTTACCTCTGTTGGACATGGACAACAGCTGCTCAGTATCCTCTTCTAATTAACAACCTTGTACGTATTTCAACCATGTTCCAATACACCATCTTACCACCCTATCCCCATCCTGGGCCATTTGCTGCTAGGGGAAACCTTTCAGCCTTCCTCCATTGTCCATTCTTTTATATCAGTGATAATTTTTCTCAGTGCTTCTTGACACAAAACACACAAAGATGTACTCCAGCTGAGACCTTTGGGAAACTGGGAAGTGATTTACACATACCTTTAAGGATATATGATGGCAGAGACTCTGGCTAACACAAACCCCCATCCATCTTGCTGCAACCTGTCTTGTTCCTAGAAAATACATGCTTTCCTAGAGATAAGAGATTCCCACACTTTGCTGTGAAATTCTTTCCTGCTTCCATATCAGGATTAAAAAATATAGGTATGACTTTTTAACTGGAAGGGACCAGGAGTAGAATCAGGGTAGTTTTTGGCTTGGAAACAGGTTTTGAGAGAGAAAGAGAGTGTTCACCTTTTAGTGAGTTGCACATTTTGTTTGTGTCTGGTGGACATACAAGGTAGTCTCAGTGGGCTCAGTCCCACAAAGTGCTCTGCATTCTGCCCCGATCCAATTAAACACTGAAACACACTTAATTGCAGTTTGAGTCCAGGGAGACCATTTACTTGAGTAGGAGTAAGCAAGTGGATAAATTAGTTCTTACATCAAGGCACAGTACTCAGCACCTCATGGCATCAATCCAGCTGTTTTGTTACTGTGTTTTCACATTACTCCCCTTCAATTTATACTCTTCTGCCAAAGCCATTAAAGAGGCCAACATTTATTTTTGAGTCTGCAGTTTCAGCTTAAGTTGCTTGCCCATGGAATTTGCCCTCTAGGAGAATTAAGAGCAGTTTAGATTTCTCTTGATGTACATGATTATGATATCTGATATATTCCCAATGTGGACTTTGCCTGTTTTACTCTTTATATGTTTGTGAAACGCAGAGTTTTTCTATGGGTAAACATAGTTAATGCCCTTCAGTAAGAAGCTAATGACATTATTGTCACTTACAAGTGCTATGAATGTAAGAGAAAACGCATTATTGCATGATATTACCTATCCAGACTTGCTAGTTCAGCCTCAGAGGAGGAGAAAAATACTCTGTAGGCATGCAGGTGTTGTGGTCACCCTGCTGAAATGAGAAATGGACTGATGTGCAGTGGGAGGAAGCAGATGCTCATTCCTCTCACTAAATACAGTGTCTTAGTGCAGAGTTGAGTGTATAAAGTGCTCTTCTTTCTTAAATATTCCTCCTGAAGGAACAAAACCAGTAAAATCTGGTTTCCTACTGATTTTCTTCTCTGTCCCAGCACCTCCCAAGCCTGTCTGTTATGCCTTTTCACAGTATCCTGCAATCCCTGTCCTGTCCCTGCTCTCCTCACCCTCCCACCCCCTCATTTCTCAGGCTCCTCTCTGAGCTGCTGCCCAGGCAGAGCCGTGTGTGGGGTGATGGGCTGGCCAGTACGTGTGTGCTGCTGGCCAGGCAGCTGCTGCAGGATAACAGCTGACTTCTTGCTTTTCCCTCAGTGGGGGCATTAAAGCCTGCTGCCAATTTTCACTGCACTCGTCAGAGGTCAGTGTCTCTGGGCTCTAACCTCTCTGCTACACGTGGTGGAGACTGAGCAGCAGCTTCTAAATATACTTGTGTGTTTACAGGTGCCTTTTTTTTCCCAGGTAACTGTAATAATCACGAAATAAGACTCTCTAAAAGGAGATTTGCTCTGACTCAGGATAAACACTGTCATGTTTCACCTGCAGGAATTTAATTCTACATGTAAAAGTTGTGAAGATCGTTTTATTGCCTTCTTATTTTATTTCTTACCTCAGTTGTGAAATAGACTCTCACTGAAAGCTGATCTCAGCGTATTGGTTATACATCTCCTCTTACGTATAGAGAACATCACACCAAGAATGTCATGCCTCCAGGTTATTGTCCAGGTCTAGTGGGATTTCTCTCTCCTGTTCTTGGCTCTAATGCTCAGAGATGCCTGTCCTCTTCCTCTGATGGTAGAAGTTCTTGCCTACCTGCTATATACTGATATTCAGTATGGTTATCACTCTAATCCAAAGTATGTAGCACTTGACTGCTCCATGAAATATGGTTTTGTCTAACACATGAGGGTTTTCCTACAGTTCTTCAATGAGGGCAGAAGGTAATCTCACAATGTATACGAAAATCTTACAGTGTATATCAAAACTGGAAGCTGACAAGCTCATTCAAGCTGATTTCATCCTGCCTCTCTGGTAACAAATTCTTCTTGAGGAATTTAGTTTTTCTTACTAAGAAGGCTCTTCTGTCTTCAAATTGTTTGTATGCTAAAGATGTGGCTGGAGCTGTTTTGTTTCTTGCTGTTCCCAGTGCTTGTTCAAATCTCACTCAAGTTTTGATGTTGTGAGAAAGTTACAAGTGTGTGGTACATGTTTGATATATGAGGTGAAATAAACCCCTAGTTACTTCAGGAACAAGGGATGAAACTGTCCCTGGGGAAAATACCCATTCTATTGTTTCTGGAAGTTGAAATTTGTAATCCCAGACTTCCAATTTACTCTTTACCCACTGTAAATTTATACTGAAAGTGTTACAGCCTGGAAGAAGAGAGCATTGATTCCTTTTCCAGACTGGACAGAGGTAATTTTCTTAAGCACCAGTGATCACCTTGAGAGCAGTGCATTTTATGTGTAAGTGCCAGGTGTCTGCCTGATTCTGCCCTAATGCTGTGTGACAGAGCAAAAATGAAATGAGTTTTGAGCTTGGGTATGGCTATTAGACTCCTGCACCTAAGCTGGCTGATCACAGGTTGCAGAAATGAGTTTTTGACTAGTTTTATAAACTGTATTTCTCCATGGCAATTTGTTTCTGAATTTCCTCATTCACAGGAGAAAACCTGAATACATAATCCTTGGAAATCCTGGGAAATACAGATGACACAAAGCTGTGGATGTTTGCATTGTTCTCTTTAGTGGATGTAGACTAGGGTGTCGGTCTCTTCTCCCAGTTAACAAGTGATAGGACAAACTGAAATGGCCTCAAGTTGCACCAGGGGAGGTTTACATTGGATATTAGGAAAGATTTCCAGGAGAAAACCTGAATACATAATCCTTGGAAATCCTGGGAAATACAGATGACACAAAGCTGTGGATGTTTGCATTGTTCTCTTTAGTGGATGTAGACTAGGGTGTCGGTCTCTTCTCCCAGTTAACAAGTGATAGGACAAACTGAAATGGCCTCAAGTTGCACCAGGGGAGGTTTACATTGGATATTAGGAAAGATTTCCGAAAGGCTCCCTGAAAGGGTTGTCAAGCACTGGAACAGGCTGCCCAGGGAAGTGGTGGACTCACGATCTCTGGAAGTGTTCAAAAACTGAAAGATGTGGCACTTAGGGACATGGTTTAGTGGTGGACCTCACAGTGCTGGGTTA